CGACAGAAGTGTACCAATTCTTAAAAATATATGCATGAAACAATTTGAAAAGATTTTTATTTATATATAGCTGTTAAGAAATTATTTACTTCCTTTAAATAACGATCCGACATTTTTGATAGACAAAAGTATTAGTCATCAGTAGTGTACCCCCCCCCCCCGGTCGAAATTACTAGATCTGCCCATGGAAGAGAACAAAGGCAACTTCATGGTATATATATAGAAAATTTAAGAAGAAGACAATTATATAAAAAAAAAACCCCATCTTTTCAGAGTTTATATGTGTTATAAAAGTTATCTGAATAATTGGAAACTAAATTTGTTGCACGCAATATCATTATGTTCTCAATGAATAACGAAGATGCCGATTTGAAATTTTGACCTTAAGGTATCATGCCTCATAATTTTAACTTTATTGGTCTCTTCCCTAGAGCTGAAGAGTTTCACTTTATGAAGGATCTGTGTGCAATACTTTAAATGTTTATGTATGGATTCGTACACCTGTTCCAAAACAAATTTTGATGAAAAAAATTTGGAAATTGTCATATGTGATTTTTATATAGTTTTCTTTGAATAATGCAAAATTGTCATAATTTGATATCTTCCAAAAACCCCTGGTAATGCATGCTGATTTTTTGTCTATGAACATCTGATGGCACTACATTAAGGACACTTTAAGCTATTCATTCTGTGTATTATAAAAGTATGAAATTTTTAATTTGAAAATAAAAGTAGCAGATATAACGGTTGTACGAGTATATACAATGGTTACTGGTTAATCATATAGAAGTCAGATTTATTGTAAAAATCTATATCAGCTGACTTTATGAATCGCACAGATTTAATCTATAAGGTTTTTTTTCAACATAACGTAAGGAACACCCCCCCCCCCCCCCCCCCCCCCCGGCGACTTCCTTCTCATCAACATCACATTAAACATTTTGTTTTCATAAAGCGAAGGATTTATTGATATTTTTAGATTCCTTCAGTATCTCTCCCCTTCAGAAATCTCTGACTGACGAAACTTTATTTTAAAATTTAATCATTTAACACGAATTTGCTTACTAGCTGCAGTACTGTAGCTCTCCGGAAAAATAAATTTTGACAGACAGGAAAGTTACAATGCAACCCATTGTAAAAACGGTATATTTATTGCGCACTGTTTCTTGATTTATTTCTCCATAGTTTTCAAGTGTCATCTCAAAATATTACTAACCGTGTGTTGCTAACATATTGTTCCAATGTTTCCGCAACAACATTCGTTATAATTTTGTTAATAGCCCTCCTGGACTTGAAGTTGATATCATAAAAAATAGACTATTTATTTATTTATTTGAATTGCAAGATAATTCGGTCCAATGTACTTCGTGCAGTTGTCACCTACATGTATACAAGAGTACTTTATATAGGAGTAAGGATTTTTCTTAAAATATATCTTTTTGCAATTAAGGTAAAAAAAAGGTTGAAGTTTCCAGGCAATAAATACATATACAGTTTTTACAATGGATGGGGCTCTACATTGTAGCTCTCCGGTCTGTCAAAATATTTTTTTCGGAGAGTTACAGTTCTGCAGCGAGAATTTGCCACACTACTATTACAAGGCACATTGTAGGAATTTCAGTTTAGTCTCATGCATGTACTAGCATCCTTAGCTATGCAAATAACAACTTACAAATAAAATGTTTAAAAAAAGCTGTATGCTGTAACTTTCCAATCCCAACCCCACTCTTACCCCCCTCCCCCCAAAAAATGCATGACAGAGTTCAATTCTGGTGAAATGTATATTATTTAACAAAAATTCTTTAATTAACTCTGCAAATAATACTTAAACATATTAATCTAAATGGGTATTATTTTCCCACTAAATCAAGAATTATGTTTAACCTTAAGAAAATCAACCCTACTACAGAATTCAAACTTAATATAAACAATTATTTATTTCGAATTATCGGCTTGCGTCCTCTACTTTTTTGCACAGATATACATTATATGTGCATTGAAAAAAGGGGTTTACGTTTTTATTGGGGTTTAGCCCAATTGCATTGTGACCCCCCGTTTAATTTGCTTTTGACGCCCATGGATATTATGTTGAATATATCGCGACTGCTTATTCTTCAATAATTAAACTGTAATGCTACGTGGTTTATTACGCACAAACGGCCCCAAGTTATGTTAAAATTATCGTATAACATAAGTTGCATTGGCCTCGGGAGCAAATTGAAAGTTGTGGGCGGGGCTAAGTGTAAAAAAAATATATATCTTCAAAAAAATCTCTGACAACCACAAAAAAGGGGGAAATGTCCATTTCCCGAACACGAAAATCCTATTTCGTGAGGGGTGGGGTGTGAGGTTAGAACCTATACTGCGACGTGTCTTTGGAAAGTGGGAGGGCTAATGGCAGCAATGTTCAATGTCTTTACCAAGATTAAGTATTTATTTAGAAAAAAAAAAGTTGGGCTAAGCCCCCCCCCCCCCGGTTCTGACGCCTTTGAGTTCAAATAAACTTCATTCCTTAAGAAAAATGATAGACTCGATTAAGAAACTTAATTCACATGTATGCGTAATGACTAAGTCTAAATACATCTATAACCCAAATAGATGTTCCATAGACATGATTAATGTTTGTCAGACTGACTGATGATCATAACGTAGTTACGAGAAATAATATATGTTAATTCAACCTTTTAAAAAATACGGACTTAAAAACAAGAAGAATATATATCAAGGTAATGTTTGTTTCAGGAAAGGTCACGTGACACGTTTTTCACTATACGAACGGGGACACGTGTGTAAACCCCAAATACGAACTTTCGATAATTATGAAAAGTTCACACTAACACACATCTTTTAATCTTAGCTAACCGGGGACATTTTTTCAACATGTTGAAAAATGGATTTTTTCGGCTTTTTGGGGTAATTAGACATACCTGATTTCGAATTTGGCGCTATTTTTAATCGGAGACAACCGGGGACGTCCCCGGTTGGAAGGTCGTCCCCGGTTGGAAGGTGTGTAAACAAACAAATGTCCCCGTTTGATACCCTTCACGCACGCACCCTCACACACACACACACACACACACACACACACACCCTCACACACACACACACACACACACATTAAATTAAAGTCGATGCAATTAAATGTTTTTTTCGAGGGTATATCTGCAAAATTAAAGAAAGGCAACTAAATTTCGTGCAAACGTATTTAGAAATATTCCCTATAAAACTGAAGAATGAAATTCATCTTAAGGGTTGTCATAAGATATCTTAATTATACTTAAGACAGTTTTGTGAAACAGCAGTGACAAATCTTATGATTGTCATAAGTCAGATCTTGAGATGATCGTGAAATCTATCTTAGGACAAATCTTACGATAATTTTGTGAAACCTAGCCCTGTCGAATATGACAAATTCCTTTTATCGTGTTCAGCTTTAACGTTTATACATGCATATGTATATGGAAGTTGGAAAGGTAATGGAGGTTAAGGTTGTAATATCTTCGAAATTTCTAATTAAGAAATAATCTAGCGGAAGTTCAGTAAAGATACTTTGGATGTAGAAAAAATGCATTAATTGAATAGTTTTTTAAAGGAATAGGGACAGGACCATTTCCACCATTCTAATTTTTTGGATAACTTCATGTAATCAAGTTCAGTAAAGATACTTTGGATGTAGAAAAAATGCATTAATTGAATAGTTTTTTAAAGGAATAGGGACAGGACCATTTCCACCATTCTTCTTTTTTGGATAACTTCATGTAATCAAGTTAGGAGACATTACAGTATTGCATTTAAGGAGCCTCATTACACCCATAGTTTATTTTAAATTTCATTACAGCATCACTTATAATGGTGATGTCAATTATCCAAATGGAGGTTATGATATCAGAAATATTTTTAGCGAATTTTTATATTTTATTATGATTTTAATAAAATATTTTATTTCAAGTTTATTATCAATAGAATTGCAGACATTTCAGTGTCAAGTAATGACATCTTTTGTAGACATGTATGCAAAATGATAATACTTCATAATATTTAATATATCTTTTTTATTTTCTGAAGTTTTTTTTGATTAGAATATAGCTTGAAAAATGTATTTAGCCTTTTCTATATAGTGCGCTATTGACAGAAATAGAAATACAAATTTTCTGAGTATTTGTCAGAAATTGATATACAGTGTATGTAGCATTCTGTACACAAGGAACTTTCAAAAGATATATTAATTAAAAACCCTCGACAACCGCAATAAACATTCTAGTCTTAGCTCATCGATGAAATGATATCACCCGAAAGGATTATCTCAGCAAGATGTCTTAAGGACGATGGTCTGGTGTTCACTACGAACTGGACACCAGGCCAACATTTAAATCCCTACGACATCTCGCTGAGATTACCGAAAGGATACGAAGATGTAATCCTTTTGTCAGAGGGCTTAGACATCTCGCAAAACAACCCGTTTAACGTGCAAAACTCAAACAACTGACGAGAGAGAATTTATGAGACGATAAAAAAGACATTTCAGTGCGGAATTGTGGATTATTCATTCTCTATTAATTCTAAATTTAGAAATGATGATCAAAATATATTTAAATCATACACAAAATAAAATAAATAAAGAGATAAAAGAAAAAATTCTGAGAAAAAGACGCTAATAAAAGAAAGATAAAAAAAGAAGAGAAACCCTGTATTGCATCCGGATCTAATGAAACCTACATATTTAATTTGTTTTTAAACAATCCAAATGAAAAAAAATCATTCAGTAGCAAGTGATCGATGTATCAGGCTTTACTCCAAAAATAATTTCAGTGACAGGAAGAGGGCTTAGTCATATTCTTCTACAACAAGGACATACATGTATAATACAAGGACTTCCTCTTCCTCTTTCCATCAGAATTTTTGATGTTTAAAGTTATAGCACGTCTAATGTTATACAATTATTTTGGCTTTTCTGAACCAGAGAATTTATAATACAGCAAAATAAACCATCTTGGATAGCAATGTGGGAAGATGACGACTATTTATGCCGACTTTTGGCGGACAGTTTAATAAACCCAGTTGGATTTTTGCCAGTTCAAAGGTTGAATAGGCGTGTGGATGATATTTTGTCGGACATTGAATATCATGGAAGAAACGTGGAGGTTGTTGAGACCGGGAGTTGGGCCGAGGGATTCCGCATGCATGGAATAGACGTTGATCGGATGTACATAGATAAAACTGCGATGGTATCAGAAACTCCAGAAAAAATACCAATAAGTTTTGTGCCATCAAAGTCGACAAGTACGCAGATATTCAAAAGGGATACGCAAAATTAATACTGCTCACTCCACACAAGGCAGAACAACACTTGCAACTGGCAGTAGTACGTGAATGTGGACCGTTGTACATATCAAGTAAGGTGTATATAGAATCTTATGTAGGGGAAAACCAGGAAACACATGGGCCCTGTGTACGGAGAGTAGCGCAGCATGGAACGGAGCAAGACGACGCACACTGTTTAAGCTGCCCCCACTGGCCCTCTGATGGAATGGAATGGTACCACAGAAGAAGGCCACATGGATGGCCAGAGCGTCACTTAGTGAGGGACATATACAATAAAGGATGCCATGTGGTGCCCATTGGTCGTAAATTCATTGACGGAAAAGGACTTTGGTGTTTTGACCCCATGTCTTGGCGATTTTCATTTTCAGTCGCAGAAAAGCGATTAGTTTATACATTTAATGATACACAGTTTTTGGTTTATGGCATATTCAAACTTTTAGTCAAAGAGGCATTCCGGGAGACCCGAAACGTTTTGTGTTCGTATTTCATGAAAACGCTTTTATTTTGGTGTATTGAAGAAACACCAAAGGAATGGTGGAGACAAGAACGCCTAGTTTCCTGTATAGAAATGTGCTTCAAACGACTTATTTCCTGGGTTTCTAATGGATATTGTCCTAACTATTTTGTCAGAGAAAACAACATGTTTCTTGGCAAGTTAGATGAAGTGGAGCGTGAATCGCTTTTTATTCATTTGTCAGAGCTGTATGGAGAGGGTTGGAGGTGCCTCTTGACCTGTCCATCCTTAAACGACTTGAAAGAAGCCCTGCAAAGAGTTAGACTACAAATTCTAGAGGCCCCCTGTGAATCTTATTTCACTGAACCGGACGAGGATTTCAAACTATTGAGTACTCAAACACGGAATGATTCTAATACACCAAGAGAAGATATCGAAGATAGAGCATTTTTTGCTCATTTAGAATGCATCGTTCAGGGTCACCCAAACTTCAGAGATCTTGATAGGGAGTTTTTCAATGCAGTGGGCCTTTTACTTGAAGAAGGATCGCAACTTGATACCTTAATGCATGATACCGTTACGCTCTACATGTATAAAATTCTACAACTCATAGCTATGATTTTCTTTTATAAGGGTCTGAATGACACCCGTAGATGTGCACGTTTCCGGTACAGACAAATTAGACGGGCACTTAACTTGATGAAACTTACAAATTCAGCAGATATAAGTAGAGGAAGGCTAACTTTAGCAACAGCTTTTTACTGTATGGGAAACTATCGCGACGCTTTGAAAATTATCCGACAATATGAAGCATTTATAGATGATAATCGTGGTGTTCTTTATGTAAGCTCGAGATATCCAGATGAAATGGATGAAAAATACATTACCAATTTCTGTAATGGTAATTTATCAAGAATTAAAAAAGCGTCAATGGCAGTATCGTACGATTTTGAAGTTTTCGGACGATGCCAATTTATCCAAAGGAAATGGCGTTTGAAATTCTTCTATTGAAAGATACATCTGCATTTATTTCTTTTCTTCCTCAACCCTATTCAATATTTCTGAAGGCTTTATGTTATTCTAAGTTAAATGACATGTATAGAGTGAAAACGCACAAGGAAGCACTACAGAGTATTCTTACAATGACCCACGATGCTGCGTTGTATCTGCTTTACACAATGATAGCAATATTAGAAACCAAACTGGACCGATTTGACAAAGCTTATCAGAATCACTATTTGGCTTACTGGCATAAAAAGCATTTGACGTGGAGAGAAGAACGCTGCAGTGAATGGGATTCCGTACAGTCAAATTTGTTGAGCGTGGCAGTAATGCTGAGACTCTTGATTTAAGGCTTAAAGCTGACATGAATTCTTAAAAACGCAACATTTTCATCTATGTACGACTTGTTTCATACCAACTATAACCGTATTCCGCCATATTTCTTTCAGATACCTTCACCCCTACTAATGTTATTGTGATTTAAATTCAAGACACGTGGTTTAGGTTAACCTATTCAAATGTTATAGGGCAGAACCGGATTTATAAATAAAATTGACCGTGAACAGGAAATTGCTATAGTCTGTTTCATCTAAAAACATGCCATGTGAAAAATGTGTTTCCACACCTTTCTAAAAGACTTTCATGATTTTCAACAGAAATGGGTGGCTTAAAGGGGGGGGGGTAAATAACAATTAATACATCTTATCATAGTTTACTGCAAAAATTACAGCTCACTAGAGACCAATACGATGGTTAAAAAAATGTGTAAGATCATATACACTGACAAACCTTTGTTTGCCTTATATGGCTATTACTATTAATGCGCACAGAGGATCTTACCACGAGCGACTGACCAATTGTTCATTGAATACGTTTACGCCAAATACATGTTTACATGTTACTTCGAACACGTGGTTCAGGTCATTCTATGATCATGTCAATGGAGTGCAAAATTAAAATGTTCTTATGAACAAAATGCAAACATTAGAAACTATTAAAAATATTAAGGGCGTTTTTAATTTGTTGTTAACTAGAGAAAAATATGCTTTATAAAATATATACGTAGTTAGTGTCATGTTCAGAACACCAGCACTTCAAGGGTAAGGAAAACGAGCAGTGCTTTTCGTATGCATTTAAATGAACAAAACATTTTTACATAACTATACTCGTGATCACGCGTGTTGGCCAGGGAATCCACCTGACAATTGTATTGACCGATATAGTACAATAAAGAAATTTATCGAGAGTAAAATTCCTGTAGTATTCCTATAGTAACCCACAATGCAATTCTCATTCATCTGATTTGTCAGTTAAAGTCACATTGGTGCCTCATTTGCTAATCTGATGCCAAAAATGTAGTCCCGGTTCCCATGCAAAATATTCGTCCAAAGAGAAATTTTAATTCATGAAAGCAGAAAATTGTATCATAGAGAATATTTATGACTTAAACTTGAATGAATTCAAGCAAGATCGATTGAAGTATATTTCTACAGAATGATTTTATAGGGGGATGAAAACTAAAACGCAACATAACTTTTCTGTTTACCATGTCTCCACGTGCTAGTCACTTCCTGGCCACATTTCCGTGAATAATTTACCCCATCTCGCTGAAGTCTCGCTAACTCTCGCCAGAGCCACTATCAGAGCTACTCTTAACTCATCGGGTTTTATAATTTGCAGAACACCGTGAAATAAAAGGTTCCGAACACATTAGTAGGGGTGACCTTGTCTCATTGTAACGATATATACCCCAATGCGCTCGTTACACTTGAATGATTTTTTGGTTTGGGTATCGACTTGTGCACATCTCCGATGGTAAAGAATATGAGAACACATGAGGTGATCAAGACATTTCAAAACCACAATAAACAACATTATTATCATATTTTTGAATGATTATTGATTTGAATCAAAAGTAAAAAAGAAAAAAAAAATGCAAGTTTGAAAGAGAAATTTAGTTGAACGTGTACGTTTTTTTACAGCGCGCCAATTTATACAGAATAAACTTGAAATAAAAAGCAGTGAAATCCGCAAACACATTTTGAAATTATTATCATTTGAATGGAAAAAAAAACAACCAACGTCTTTGATTTGCAGGTCCTATATGCAATTGATGCATATCGAGAAAACGCCTCGAACACTGTAAATATACCTGTACCTGGTAATAAGGTTACTGCATCGGTTCGAAGATGTGCACAAGTCAAGTAATATACGCCCTGAATTCCATTTATTGAAATATGCATCACAAAAATGAAATAAACTCCATAAAAACTCAATAGTAAACACACTGCCACTACTCCGTAAAGACTAGCACATCGATACACTTAGTCCGTGCTGATCAGATTTTGGTCAGGGAAAATATCACAAGTGGAAAGAGAAGTTATTTGGTATTTAAATAGTATTTGTGCGACTGAAAGGGGGGGGGGGGTATCATAACTGCTGTTCATAAGGTATATTTGTAAATTGTCTATCTACCTGTAGCTGTAATATACATGTACATTCTATACAAAGTCATGTATAGTCTGCAGTTGGTTTGCGTCGCAAAATTCATTTGTCAATTATAACTGATTATTTTAGCAATAGTACTAATCTCAAATCTAAACCAAGTAATTTGATGTACGGTAATTAACTACTTCAAATCTTATAAGCAATTAATCAGAGTACAAATTTTTAAGTGTACATCTATACGTTCTTTAACACAAATCAGAGAAAAGCCATCCCTCGTTTGGATTGACATCTAGAAATTTGAATTTTTGAGGCGGGGGGGGGGGGGCATGCAAAAATAATTGACATGTTCGTTATTTAAATATTTTTGGAAGACAGACATTTCTGCTGAATTCCATTTTTGAGATTTTTTTAAAATGTATCACTCCGACCTCAAAGAATGTGCATTTTGTGGAACGTAACTGTTTTATAATTATGTTGTTACAGGAAGTCTTTCGAGATTTCAGTATCCCTGCCTGACAGTCTAGCTATGTTTTTTTTAATAAAAATGTAATTTCTTAAGAAGCATTTGCGAGATAATTTTAAAACCTAGGGTAGGGATACTTGAAACCTGGTTGAATACGGATAATTTTTATTTACTCCTTTGTATATTGAACTCTCTCTTTCTCTCTCTCTCTCTCTCTCTCTCTCTCTCTCTCTCTCTCTCTCTCTCTCTCTCTCTCTCTCTCTGTAACCATCGGCGATAATAGGTATAAAATCCCACGCACTTTATGCTGTACCATTTATTAAGCCTTAGGACAGATCAGGGATTTTTTTTTCAGGCGGGATGTCGAAACTTCATAAAATGAATAATAATTTTACTTTGGACAAGAAATTTTCCTAAACGCCCAATATGAAAGAGAAACTAGAAGTATTGTGAGCAATGAGCTCTATAAATGATGCTCCCGCCTCCTATATGGTTATAATGACAAAGTACATATTTTGCTGTTGTCGGTAAACCCAAAATATGTGTCGGATCAAAAAGTAAAATAGAAGGTACACAGTGGTAATATGTAATAAACTTGAGATTCTGTGAAAGTTTCATTAAATTTCACTCAGTGGTATAAGAGAATTTGCGGATAAGAGATGGGTACCCTAAAGCGTAACAGACATCTACGGACGGACGGACGTACAGACGGACGGACATAACGATTACTATATACCCTCGCGATTTTCAAGCGGGGGGTAAAAAAAACATTTTAAAAACATCACAGGAATGAGTACATTGGGAATTATCTCAAAGACCTTCTCAAACGTGTCGAACCTGGACCTGGACAACAGACAAGAGAATTTTTAAAAAGCTAATTTTAGGTAGAATGTGGAATTCTCACGGGGAGTCTGCTCTCTCTTCCTATATGCTTTGGCTAATAATCATTAATTATTTATGTCAAGAAATTTAATTCACATTTCATTCTATTTTCATTATCATTGTACCACAGAATCAAACTCGTTTATTATACCCCAAGATGCGTGAGTTATAATGTTTTTGACCCGTCCGTCAGTCAGTCCTGTTTTTTTTTTTGTCAGCGCAACTCCTCATAAACCAATGCACAGAATTTTGTTAAATTTCGCAGATATTTATAGGAGACAATGTGTAAATTTGCACATCACCCATCTGTACATCACCAGGAAATTCCGAATTCTTTATTTCTTCGGGAATTTCCGCATTTTTACATTTAGATTTTGACCATATCTTGAATATAGCTCGATGAACAGTTTGTCAGCGCAACTCCTGATAAACCGCTGCAAACAATTTCGTCAAACTTTGCAGATATTTAGGACACAATGTGTATAGATATGCATATAACAAGGAAATTACGATTCCTTTATTTTTTCTGGGAATTTCAGCACCTCAATTCTTGGGGGAGCGTGGGGTATATGAACTTGCTCACTTTTTCTTTCATTGTGCATAAAATTATGAATAACTTTAAATCAAATTATATTAACTTAAAATCAAATTATATTAGGTCTAATAAAGCCAATACACAGTATTTATTTGATAATATTTGATCATAACGAAATCCGATCTGTTTCAGACGTTTTTCTTAATTTATTTCTTTGAGAGTGTTATGCATGTTTTATTACCCCCCCCCCTCCCTCCTATCATAGGAAAATATCTCCAAAAGGTGAATGGTTTGTTATAATGCATGCTTTATTATAAATTTGATGAAATTAAACCATGTTTTCATAAATTTTATTTACAACATTTACAGACAAGAGTAATGTTTATTTTTGAAAAAAATTATTTGCATTTTTTTCAGTCAACCCCATGGAGCTTTCAACCTTTGATATTTTCCCTGACCAAATAAAATGATCGGCATGGGCCACGTGTGTCCAAGTATTTTTTACTGTTGAGTTAGCAATGGATTACATGACTTCTGAGATGCATTTTTCAATAAAAGTAAAATAGGATAA